CACTGGGGCAGGTGACAGCCCAGAACAGGCTCAAAAGGACAAAAGGACTGTCATCCATAACTAATATGGACATACCTTGAAAAGAGAAAGAATCAAACTAAAACTATACATATTCGAGAAATGTAGGAGCAAGGGAAGGGACCGGGGGATCTGTGGCCAATGGCCAATCTGTACTAAGAAGTGAGCATAAAGACCAGAGGTGCCTGGCACAGAGACTCATGCTGTAATCTCATCTTCTCATGAGGCAGAGATCAGGAGGATCAGGTTCAAGGCCAGCCCCTGAAGTTGGGGGCAGAGGAGGAGACCTCCATCTCAACAAACAAGCCGGGCAGGGGAGTGCATGCCTGTTATCCCAGCTATTGCAGGATTATAAATTGGAGGATCAAGTCCAAGGCCGTCCCCAGGCAAAAAGCACAAGACCCAAATTTATGACAGGTGACATGTTAATAGAAAAAGGGATAAAGGCCATCACAACAGCCTGCAAAGAAGCCAGTTAAAGCAGGCTAAGGGTAGACGGTGGGTTGAAACTGCTTCTACAACAGCTGCATTGCCTGGCGCTCTTAGAAACGCTAGTGGACTGCAGGATGCTGGGAAGCAAGTGTGGCAGTGGCTCCTGAGGATAGCATACACTCCAAATCCAGAAAAGGGAGCAGGGTGCTTGGCCAACCCTGACAGACGAACAGTCCAGTGTCCATTCTGCCATTCTAAGGGACAAATTCTGTCCTAGTGTCCAGATTGGAGGGCACAGAGCTCAACCCCCTACCATTGAGTAACAGTGAGGGTTCTAGTGATTTCCTTCATTTTCTTCTACTTTTCTACCACCTATGTTTTCTAAACTGACTACATGTCATTGGTGAATTGATGTACTCATTTTTTTAATTAGCAGCAAAAAAAAAACCAGTTGCCAACCAGAGCCATGGGCCAGTTTGCCCAGAGAAGCTGGAGCAATTCCTGCCGGGCACCAGGTGACTCAGTGACAACCAGCAGAGGGTCCTTTCAACCCTCAGATCCTGACAGAGCCTGAGAAAGTCTGTTAATGTACGCATCTCTTGCTGCTCTGAGCTGCAGGATTCTAAAATTCTCCACACTGCTGTGAACAAGCGCCCCTCAGGACCTCTGCTGGCTGTCCATGCCCCTCTCTCGGCCACCTCCCTTTGCTTACCTTTCTGAGGAGAAATGAGGGGGACGCTGGTCTTTCCCTGGGCGCTCACGGTCACATTTCCAGGAACAACAATGGGGTCAGGTTCCAGGGTCAGGCTTTCGATCACTGCAGGGTCCTTCCCTTCATCACAGTTATCCCAGGAAAAGCCACCAAGCTGGGCTGACTGGGGACAATCAGACAGCCCGGAAAAAGAAGAAGAGAAGTTGACAAAAGGAACCATCTCAGGTCAGAAGAATTGAGAACAGGCCAATGGTATTGTGACCTTCATGAGACATTTCCCTCCCTGGCCCTTTCTGCAACTCTAATCTTAAATTGGATTGCACTTGACCTACCCATTTAATAGGCAGAACTAAACTAAAAGACTCAAACGAGTCTTTTGTTGAAAGGCACAATATAGTAAACCTTGATATGTCAAAATAGGGAACTAACCTCCTTGGGCTTGGGGGTGCCTTCCCTGACTTCTGACCTCCTGCCCACTTCCTCTCCAGCCAGCCTTGGGAGCCCTCTAGGGGAACAGCTCCTGGTGGGACCACCTTAAACTTCAGGCCCAACCTAGGGCCAGGACCCCTAGGGAGCCCAAAACACAATGGAAAACAGAACAGCACCCCAAGCCCCACCCTCCAGAGAACAGGACACACATGACAAGACTCCCAGTATTCCTTGATGATTAAAGCTCCCTCGGGAAGGACTTCCCCATCCCAGCCAGTGCATTCTTGCTCCCATCCCATTATGCAAGCTACATGCAGCTTGAGTCACCTGCCTCTCCTCTGCAAGGCCACTCCACATCCCCCTGGTATCCTGACCCTATCATCCCCTTGTTAAACTTCACAGGACCACCCACTCCTCACACCCACAGGACTTCATGATCCTGAGCACACCCCCTCACTCAGTCACGCCTTTCCCAGCCCCCTGAAGGCCACTTATGGGAAACCATCAGCCTGTCCACCACCCACACTCACTCTAAGTGAGAAAGTCTGCCAGCCCCACACCACCAAGCTGGCCTCCATCTTCAACATACCCATAGCTGCCTGGATCCAGAGAGAATACCTAACTCAAGCTAGATGACAGTCTGTCTGCCCAATTTTGGAATTAAGACACGAGAAGCCACATCACCTCTAGGACATTGGGCTTGATACTATCTTGGGTCATGAAGTTTGGACTGGGGCCAAAGCACCTAGACCTAAGACTCATGACAAAGCTGAAGTTGGAGAAGGGACAAGAACTAAGGGCTCTGTTGGTCTGTGGAACAGGGAACAGAAAGGGAACAGTGACTGGCCCAGCTTTGGAGGGACACACAGGGAAATGAAGGCTCCAGTCAAACGGACTGAGCTAAAATCATAGCTCAGCCTAGTGCCAGTGTCCTGTAATCATAGCTACTCAGGAAGCAGAGATCAGAAGGATCACAGTTCGAAGCCAGTCTGGGAGACCCTATCTTGAAAATACTCAACACAGTGGTGGCTCAAGTGGTAGAGCACCTGCCTAGCAAGCATGAGGCCCTGAGTTCAAACCCAGTACCATCAAAAAAAAAAAATCATAGCTCAGCCACATTTATCACATGCTTCTATAGGTTACTGATCCCTTTGGAGCCTTGATTTCTACATCTTCTAAGTGGAGGCATTTGTACCTTCCTCTCAGAATTGTCACAAGAGCGACAGCATATATGTAAAGCTCATGACACCATCCAGAGCATGAGCTGGCTCTGTAAATGACATGAGAATCCCACCTCTGCTTCCTGCCATTAGTTCCATGGGATCCCTAGGTACCTATTAGCCTTCCCCTGCTCCTGAGTTTCTTGGAATGGGTTTCCAATCAAATGGAATGAAAGGTCGTGCCATGCCAAAGGCAGGCAGGACCGGGTAGGTACAGCAAATGTTTACCTTGACATTCAGTCCACAAATATCCATGGAGTAATGATTACAGTCCCCGCTAAGAGCTGTGTCAGGAGTAGTAAACAACTAGACATGGTTCCTGCCTGGGGTTTGCAGGCCAAGGCAGAGCCACGGTGCTCTGAGTGCCATAGGGAAACGAACAGAAGATGACCTTGAGGGTAACACAGGACTCACTTAGGGTGGGGGAGAAATGACTCCTTCAGTCATGCGAGTGCAGACAGACCACAGACCAAGGTCCCCGTAGAAGAAGCTCCATTGCTTCAGGCATTACGGGGAGGCCAATAGGCTAGAGAGTCGGGTGAGGGACCCAGCAGAGGCTACAGGGTGACACTATCATTTACTGCTGGTCTTCATGGGTCATAATCAGGAGATGAAACTGTCCTGTATGCAATGGAACCCCATCGAAGGAAGTTCTGATTTATGGCTGTGAACGGCCTGGAGAGGGACAGGACTAGAAAAGGGGTGATGAGTTTAGGAGGCCGCCATCAAATGAAAGAAAGTTGACATAGAAGATTTGAGCTTATGCCTGTAATCCTAGCAACTCAGGAGGCAGAGTTGAGCTGAGGGCGTAGGCAGGAGGACTAGCTATTTTCTGGGGTTTTCAGACACACTGCAGATTGATTCTGGGCTCAGAGAAGTTTCCAAAGTGCCCTTTTAGAAGCCCTTCCCCTCTCCTCAGCACCCTTCCCCGCCGCTGGAGGAGACCTACAAGATGGTTTCCCACTGGTAGGGCCTTGACTAGCTGCCTGTGACGAGGAGCTGTGCCGCCAAGCCCAGGCTTACTGGGAAGAGAGGCTGTGATGAACCAGCAAAGCACACCAGGCCTCAGGCCTGGCACCTAGACCAACTCACGGGTAGAGGTAAAAGGTGGCACAGGCAAAAGGCAATGGCTTGGGAGGCAGAAACACAGGTACAAATCACAGCCGTGGGTTAAAATCATACCCTGGCCACTCTCACTAGCTGACAGCATGGACATGTTAACCCCTTGAGGCTCAACTTCCTCATCTATGAAATGAACATAATTATATCTTCTGACAGGGCTATTGTGCAGCTAAGAAGTTTGTATACACAAAACACAGCAACTCCTCAAGACTGTCAAAAGGAAAAAGACTGAAAAACTGTCACAGACCAGGAGGGCGGGGAGACTCAACACTTCATTGGTGAAGTGTTTCAGACTGAGTCCTGAAACAGGAAGAGGACATTAGTGGAAAACTGACGAGACCCACAAAAGTCTAGAGTTTAATTAATAATAACATACCTACACTGGTAAAATAAGATGGTAACAAGGAGAACTAGGTAAGCAGTATATTGAAATTCTATCATTGCAATTTTCTGTACATCTTAAATTATTCTAGGGCTACAGGTGTGGCTCAAGTGGTAGAGTACCTGCTTAGCAAGCAGGTAGCCCTGACTTCAAATCACAGTACTGCAAAGAAAAAAAAAGAAAAGAATTCCAAAATTAAAAATTTATTTTAAAAAAGCACAAAGCAGGACTGGAGGCATGAGTCAAACAGCAGCCCAGTCTCACCAAAATAAGAAAGCACAAGATTCAATGCACAACACATAGTCTGTGTACAATAATAACAACCACCGTATAGCAGAGTCTATTAAGCTCTCAGCCCAGCGCACGGCTAACCCTTCTGCCCTGTCATCTAACACTCACCATAGCCCAGACTCACAAGACTGGTCAATGCTACAAGAGGAAGTGAAATCCAGGGTTCTTGTCACCCCAAAGCCTTCCTCTGGTCCATGATCAAAGAGTCAGTGGTCTGAAAAATCTACTGTAGATGACAGTAGATAAGGATCAAAAGTGCCACTTGTTGGGCAGGAAGGGGAGAGATGGTGGGGGATAGCTAACCAACATACAATGTAAGCCTATTTGGAATTGTCACAATGAATCCTCCCTGAACAATGAATACCTCCTTATATATAGCAGTTATTAAAAAAATAATAATAGTATAATAATAGTAAGTGCCACTTGCTGTGTGATCTTGGGCCTAAGTGAGGTGGGTGGCCTCTATGATGTCATCAGGGTTTCTCCAAACCTCCCAATCAAGACCCTCTAGTCTGGTATGGCATAGTCAAGGCACACAGGAGGAGAATTGGAGGGCCAGCCCTGGAGCCTCTAGCTGGACTCCATCTCACAGCAGCCAGCCCTGGAGTCAACAGAAACATTCACAACCCACACTCAAGGTCAAGGTGCTTATCCTCTGGGCATATAGACTTTGTGTCCCTTGGCCAGGTGAGGACAAGGTCATTGGCTTGTAACACTTTAAGTGTCTGAGACTACAGCTTTCCCATCTATGAAAGCACACCCCTGCACTGACAACCCTCTGAGACCTCACACCTATTTTTCAGATGGATGGCAACAGAGAGGGATCAGTAGTCAGGCGTGCCAGCTTTCCGTCCTGTCCACTTTCCCCGACCCACCACACAGTTCCTCACTCTCCCACAAGCCCGGAGGTAGTGAGAGAGATGGGCATCTGGAGTGGACCCGCCCGCTTCCCGCCAGAGATGTGTCTTGTCTACAGCCACACAGCAAAAGAGGCAATGAAACTGGGCTTCTCAGGTGTGGGAATGACAGACTTCCCGTTCCCAGGGGTCTGTGGCATGGAATAAACGAGACGTGAAAGGGGAAGCTTGGAAGGGGGAAGGAGGAGGCTGGCCTATCAATGGCTCGCAACAGGAGCAGCGGGATCCCAGGACTGTCCAGATTGTCACCAGATGGGCAAATTAGTGGTGTGAATGGGCTCTCAACCCATCACTCCCGCAAAAAGAGTTCAGAGCATTCGAGCAAAAGTATGAGACGCCAGGCCTTGTCACCGGGAAATGCGAAGTGAGGGCGTGGGGCGAGGAACAGGGTAGTAGTGCCAAATCTCTGGGCCTGGGGCCAGTGCTTTAGTTTTGCGGTTCTGCGCAGTTTCGCTCAGGCGCTTGGCGAGGGCGGGAAAGTGCAGATTAATAATTTTGGAGATTAACCCGTCCAAAATAATCTGATTCCCTCTAAAAGCCCCATGCTACAGAAACAACTCTAGATAGATGCGGCCACCCTCATGTCCCATTCCGACCTACACACCCCCTGCTGAGTCGAGAGGTTGCAGGCAGCCTCCTAAAGGGGGGTTAGGGAGCACTCACGGGGTTTAGACCGATGATGCGCGCGGGGGCCGCAGGGCCGGCGAAAAGCAAACCTAGGACGATCAGGAGCAAGGTCCGCATCAGGAAATGCATTGCAATAGGCGGGTGCACGCGGAGTTAACTGCAAGGATCTTGCTGGCGGAGGCGCCTTTAACCGCGGGTCTGGATTGGTTATGCAAAGCTGTACATTGCTATGCAAAGCTGAGCCCCACCACTGGTCGATCCGCCTTGTTCGGCCCTGCCCCGTCCGAGATTTAGGGGCGGGGAGTAGGCGGGATCTCCCCAGCTCCCCTCCCCGGACGTTCCTCATTGCGCCCCTCCTACCCAGTGTGATTGTCAACTGCCTCCTTTTGCAGGGCGGAGGCGGAGCCAGAAGAGGAAAGGGAAGGAGCTTAGTGTGGAGAACTCCGACTCAGTTTAGGTCGAGGGAGGGGCGGAGTCAAGCGCGTGGCGAGGAGGGTCTGAGCGCGAGGAAGGGGCGGGACTGAATGTGGAAAGGGGCGGGGCTGCGCGAGGGGCGGGGCTTGGCGTGGGGGTCGGGCGTGCGCGAGGCTGGTGTAAGGCTTGTGGCTCTTGAATTTGTGCTGTGACCATCGCCACGGAAAGGACGTTTAGGAACCCAGGTATCCAGTTGTTTCATTCCCGAGTCCTTCTTGAGAAAGAAGCCATGCTCCCTAACAATATTATGCTTCTCTATATCCAGTCACTGACTTTTTTAATAGTCATTATAGTTAACGATTAATTAAGTGCTGTAAGGCACACTAAGGACTTTGAGAGAATCCTGCCTTTTGCCCTATTTTAGCGCGGTGAGGTTGGCTTTGCCACAGTCGCACAGCTAGGAAGTGATAGAGCAAGGCTGAGCTTACATACTCCATCAGCCAAAATCGTCTTAGGCTACTACACAGATGAAGTTTGCTTTTTAAAAAGTAGAAATTAATTCCCACAAAATTACCACTAACGCCCTGGGTACAGAGCCACTTAATATGTATGAAGCAGGCATGTGAGTGAGATGGAGAGGTCAGACAGGTGATGCAAACCTTAAACATAGTTTGTCTGCATGGTGTTCCTTAGGAATCTTAGTGTTTATTGTATAATTTTTAAGTGAGTGCTCATTAAATTATGGATTTCCAGCTTTGCCTGAGAAATCATAGGGCCACAGTCCATTGGAACTGATCTGCCAGCACCCTGGGGTGGCATCTGGCTCCCCAGTCTCCACAGTGCATCTCTCTATCACCAGGTCCCCCTGTGAGCTTTCAGTCCCAACTTTATCAGGACACCTGTTTTAGAGAAATTCTCATAAATTTTTTTGTGGTGCTGGAATTTGAACTCAGGCTACACCTTGAGCCACTCCACCAGCCCTTTTTTGTGAAGGGTTTTTTTAAGATAAGGCCTCATGAACTATTTGCCTGGACTATCTTTGAAGTGCAGTCCTTCTGATCTCTTCCTCTTGAGTAGCTAGGATTACAGAAGTGAGCCACCATCGCCTGGCTTGTTCTCACAATTAAAAAACAATTTTCAAAAGATAAAATCATACCTCTCATGTAGATATAAAGTAGACACAGACTAAAGATTTTATTTAGCTTCTTCAGTAAGGAACTGTGTAAGATGTTACAACAGCAGGCCCAAGGAAAACCTAAAAAACAAATACATCAGGAATAAGGAAGTAAATCAGAGGCATAGAAGAAGGAAGACAACTTAAACTCCAGGCAAAACTTTGTATGTCTCTGGCAGGCTATTTGTCATTGAATTACATTATCTGTGACTTCAGAGGCAGAAAAGTCCCCAGCAGGTAATGTGGAAGGGTGTGTGTGAGACAATAAATACTTTTCCATTAGTCACTTTTTTAATATCATTGAGCCTCAGTTCTGCCATTTGTAAGAAAGTAAGGTCGAACTAGACAATCTCCAAAGTCCCATTCCACTTTGAGGGTCTTTGAGGGTATGTGTGGGGGACCTGGTGCTGATGGCTCACACCTGTAATCCTAGCTACTTGAGAGGCTGAGATCAGGAGGATCTCAGTTTGAGGCCATTCTGGACAATAGTGGGACCCTATCTTCAAAATAACCCAAGCAAAATGGACTGGAGGTATGGCTCAAGCAGTACAGCAGCTACTTTGCAAGTGTGAAGCCCTGAGTTCAAACCCCAGTACCACACCTCCCCCCCCAAAAAAAAAAAAAACAGAAGGGGACTAGGGGCTAGGGACAAAACTCAGTGGTAGAGTACTTGCCCAAGATACTGGGTTTAATTTTAAAAAAAAAAAAAAACTGAAAGGAACAGTAGAATTTATTTCAGTGAAATAGCCTCTTACTATCTAATCTTCAGAAAGAAACTGAAGCCCAAAGCCACAAAAGCAGAAGCAAGAGGAGGACCCAGGTTTCTGTTCTCCTAGCTCAGCCATACCTCTGGACAGGACTGCAGAGCAAAACCACCCCTTTCTCATCTCACTAGCATGAAACCTGAGAGCACTTGGAGGCCTGACAGTGCCCTGGGGAGCAGGGCTGAGACTGGTCCAGCAAGCCAGACAGGCCTGGGGAAGGTGCTTTGGAAGCAACCTCCCCACCACTATTGGCCTGAGGGGCCCAGATAAGAGGACTGTGTGCAAGCCAGCATTACTTTGACTCCCAGAATTCTCATCTCATTAGAACTAGTTCCTAGAGCTGTGATTCTCACTGCTGGCTATACAACACTGCAATCACCTGGGGTCTCTAAACAAATGCCAGGCCCAGGCTGTACCTTAGGGTGGAACCCAGGTATTAGCATTTTTTTTAAAGTCCCTGCAGTGGGGGGGAGGGTTTCCCCCAATGAG